GGTTTTCCACTTTTCATGTATGTCATCTTATTACTAGATATTCTTTTGGAGAAAATGCTTACAACATTCTGAATTTTAAAGAATTTAACTCCTACTTTTAGTCTTATAAAACGCATATGACTGACAACTATAGAGTCATCATACTGAATCACAGTTCTTACTGTTTTTGTGGTTATAGAAAGTGACCTTTTAAAGTAGAGGTCATTTGTGTAGGTTACTAACATTTGATTATAGGTGTATTCAAAGTGTTGTTACGTAAAGATGATATATCGACCAATGAAGTTATTTGTCTTTTTTGAATGAAATGGCCAGGACATGTATTACGTATGCTTAACCATCACCTACTTCAATGTACCATGACATCTGACATCAAACTTTGTTGGTAAGAAATTAGGAGCTACATAAATAAGTCTTTTTTTTCTGAAAATTCTCCGATGTAACACAACACGCACCAACCAAATCACTCTTGATGAAGATGCCTTGTAGGACGTTAACACCTTTACATATCTGAGCATCATCATCGACGAGAAAGGTGGATCAGATGCAGATGTGAGGGCACGGATCGGCAAAGCAAGGGCTGCATTTCTACAATTGAAAATTATCTGGAACTACAAACAACTTTCAAACAAAACCAAAATCACGATTTTCAATACAAATGTCAAGACAGTTCTACTGTATAGAGTGGAAACTTGGAGAATTACGAAAGGCATCATCCAGAAGATACAAGTGTTTATTAACAGTTGTCTACGCAAAATACTTCGTATTCGTTGGCCAGACACGATCAGTAACAATGTACTGTGGGAGAAAACAAACCAGATTCCAGTTTAGGAGGAAATCAGGAAGAATTGGTGGAAGTGGATAGGACACACATTGCGGAAAGCACCTAACTGCGTCACGAGACAAGCCCTCACATGGAACCCTCAAGGCAAAAGAAAAAGAGGAAGGCCAAGGAACACACTACGCCGAGAAATAGAGAAAGATATGAGAGGAATGAACAAACATTGGACAGAACTGGAGACGGAAGCCCAGGACAGAGTTGGTTGGAGAAAACTGGTGGGCGGCCTATGCTCGATTGGGGGTAACAGGCGTAAGTAAGTAAGTAAATAAGACAACACAAGTGCATGAAGTCAATGACGGTAGAAAAGTGCAATTTAACTGATTGAGGTCCGAGTCAAGATCAATCAAAGCTGCGCAATCAAAACATCTAGCTTAGAAAACGAAACTTCACCACAACTCTTACCACTTCTACATTATGAGGATTTATTTAGAAGATACCCATTAAACTTATCATATAAACCAATCCGGTAGAATAAATCTATTCAAGTCTCATAGTAGTACTCTTCTTTTGCCTTCTTCTAACAATATTAATGTCAGTCAAGCGTGAGTAATGTAAAAATCGCCAGATGTGTACATGGGATCACAGTGCTAAACTATATTAACTCTGCAAGATGAAATTGTCAGATAAATCCTCGAGGATCCTGAAGCAACAGTTTTCATTTCGGTGGAGAGAATTGCACCCCGAACATGCTTGCATTGTTGCTTAGTGTAGTCAGGAGACACTGAATTTTGTCAGCGTCTTCACCATCAGCATCTTCTAAGTCAACAAGTGAACCTCCCGATAAATGTTTGACTCTTGTAAAGTTAGACGATGGATATGTCGTCTCTTCAGACACGCCAGCACATCAGAAACTAAAAAAAACATCACATTGGTATTTAACTATGGATTTAACAAGAGTCTAATTCATTTTACATAGAACAGTGAGAAGACGTAATCGATCTGAAATATGTTGTGATGTATTTACGTGCTATACATGTTTCCAACAATCTGGTCACACACATATTTACTTGTCAAGGCATTTTATGTATGAAGATGAATAAAAGGTCAATAAAAATAAAAGTTCAACTGAAAGGTTAGAGAAAATTAACATAATTATAGAAAGAATAAGAAAGGATAGGAAAATTGTCATATTACCCCCGAGGTTTAAAGATTACCAGAGTAAATTCACTTTTCTATCAAAATTTATAAAGCTGGACTAATTGTTTTCTCATTTCCGTTTAAGTTACTTTAGATCGTCATCAGGCTTTACTCTAATATACATGAATATTTATGCATGAAAATGTTAAACCAATTAAGGCAATTTGAGTAATAATCACAATGAAATGAAAAAAGGCAAAAGTACAAGTGGATAGTAGGAAGACAGAGCTCTACTGATAGTAGTAGGAAAATTTATAAAATATGATAACTAAAGTAGGTCAAACGTGGATGAATAGACTTCAAATAATTATTGAAAAACATCAAAACCATTACGTAATAAGCAAATGTGTAAAAATAAAAATATAATGTCCATCGTTAGTTACGTCATATCCGGCCACGGAAGAGATAGGGGTGTCACGAATTTCTTCTGAACATATTGATTGGAGTTGAATGTACGTATTACTATGGCTTCTGCAATATGTAGGAGACGGGATCGAACTCCGTTGGGAAATGATGGAGGTATACGATAGATCACCCGAAAAGATCTAGATTTATCTACAATGTGACCACTATCTACCAGGTGTGCTAAGATAGAACTGTGTATTGTTTTTGACTGACCCTTCGTAAACCATGCTGTTAGATGTTCACTCATTCGTTGGTTCGGTTGACTGAAAAAACGCCCGATATAGCTTTCTACACATGAGCAGTCGAATTTGTAAATGCACATAGAGGAGGTCAACTCAGGTAACAACTTATCCTTCGTTTGAGTAGACATCGCTGGTCGACAGGAGAATGTCATTGCAAGTTTGACAGCGTTGAATGTTCTATTAATTACTCTTATTAATCTGTCCTGCAGAGTATCGCAGGCCACATCTCCGTTGAGTTGTAACTCCATAAATGAAGGCTTCTTTTGGGCGGTCGAAACCACCGACATCTTTTTTACGGCAAACATATACTTCTTTATGAATGCGCTGGGATAACCAATGTCGGTTAGTGAGCCGTTGATGAACTCCAGTTCCTGACTTAAATTATCCACTGAACATAACATATTTGCTCTGTTAGTGAGACATCTAATCAAGTTAGTTTAGCATAAATACTTAAAGCAAAAACATGTACAGATGTCTATTACTGGATACCTTAAGACAAGTTGAACAATGAATGAATGTTTAATTTGGTTCGATTTTCAATAGTCCTATAAACAATGTATCCCTCCTTTCAATGCTTTCTCTATGCAGCTAACTTCTCTGTATAATATAAATAAATTTTTTGTATTTTAACATGAAATGTTTGTCTTAAAAATAAAGAGAGAGAGTATGTTGTGAAGGAGAACAAAGGTGAGGGCAACCGAATTGTATTTAACGAAAATTACAGAGTTACTCAGTAAAATAGGAAAACCATATCGTAAACGGTTAATTTGCAAATCTTCAATCCATCATCAATCCATTGTCTAACATTTCACTTATTCATGCGTTTCATACAAATTCCATTGTGTTCCCACTCTTCTTCCTTTCTTGCTTGATCTTCCCTCATCTTCTGCTGCCAGATATTACGTTGACACTCACGTCATATAATACTTATAAGTAGCGCGCACCACACTCGTCCCCCCTCTTAAGAAGCTGTCATCGTAGTCTTTCTGATTGCCATACCGTTGTCATCTTTGGTGCTTTTCGTGACTCATACACTTGATAATCTTGAAACCATCTCTGCAGTTGACTAGCATTAACGCGCTTCTCCTTGCCTTCTCTTCGGATCGTGTAAACCGCGCCGCGTCTCTCCGTGATAACGTACGGTCCTTCACACTTTGGAATCAGCAAAATCAATGGTAACTCTTTCTCCCAATCTCCTCCTTTAGATGCTAACCATTCCTTTATCGTCCGGTTGTTTCTCTCTGTAAGCCCGTTTATCTGTGGATGATACGGTGTTGTTCGTATCCTGTCCCTGTCCACTGGGCCAATGAACTCCGTCATCAGCCGCCCGGTGACCGTCTCCCACGCCGTCTTCCCGGCGGCACCGTCCAAGCTGTCGTATACAGCCTTTGCCTCACCTCCCCGCAGCGTCACCAGCACCGCCAACTCCGCCCCGGGCCCCTTCACTAGCCCCACCACGGCCTCAAACTCCTCCAGGAAGCTCTGCCAATCTCCGTCCTGCAACTCCTTCGGCCACGGGAGCTCATTCCTTCGAGCAAGCAGCAACACCAAATGTAGAAAGGAGAACACAGGTGGGGCAACCGAATTGTATTTAACGTAAATTACGGAGTTACTCAGTAAAATAGGAAAACCATATCGTAAACGCGTAATTGGCAAATCTTCAATCCATCATCAATCCATTGTCTAACATTTCACTTATTCATGCGTTTCATACAAATTCCATTGTGTTCCCCCCACTCTTCCTTTCTTGATCTTCCCCCATCCTCTCCTGCTGCCAGACATTACGTTTTCACTCGCGTCATATACTACTTATAAGTAGAGCGCACCACAAGAGTAATGGCGTCTATAGATCTATTTTTTTTCACTCCATTCAATTAATATCATTCGAATGTTCTGATTTCAATGAGACAAGTATCAAGTTTATTTTTTTCTACACTCAAAATAAAAGAACAAACAATTAAAATGAAAATAGGGAAATAAATTTTAACGGAAGAAACAAGATAAAGTGAAGTGAACAAGTTGATCAGAGGAATATAGTAACAAAAAGAAACTGTTACTTATTCGTTCAGTTTAGAATATAAAATCATTGTAAATATTATCATTTCTACATGTATCATTGTGTGTACCATACATGAAAGAAAATCTATGCATAGAGAGAGAAAGAGAGAGAGAGAGGAAGGCATTAGTCAATAATCAGTTCGTTTGTTTTACTATACCAGCAAATTCAATGATGAATGTGTGTGTATGCGCAGGCGCGCGGGCGCTCGTTTTCATTCATCCTTTGTATTGTTTATCTAGTAAATGGAACAAAGTTTAAGGATTTGATGGGAGCTTGAACAATGCAAACTTGTTCTCTCTCTCTCTCTCTCTATGTTACATTAATTTTCATAACCATCTGTTTGTTGACAAAAATTGAATGTGAAATATGTTTTGAAATGTTCTGCCTTCTTTCTTAATCTATTACTACTACTACTACTCACAATACTACTACTACTACTACTACTACTACTACTACTACTACTACTACTACTACTACTACTACTACTACTACTACTACTACTACTACTACTCTGACTACTACTACTACTACTACTACTACTACTACTACTACTACTCTGACTACTACTACTACTACTACTACTACTACTACTACTACTACTACTACTACTCTGACTACTACTACTACTACTACTACTACTACTACTACTCTGACTACTACTACTACTACTACTACTACTACTACTACTACTACTACTACTACTACTACTACTACTACTACTCTGACTACTACTACTACTACTACTACTACTACTCACACTACTACTACTACTACTACTCACACTACTACTACTACTCACACTACTACTACTCACACTACTACTACTACTACTACTACTGCTACTACTACTCACACTAATACTACTACTACTACTACTACTCACACTACTACTACTAATCATGATAATTAATAATAATATTAATAATAATATATAGTAGTAGTGACCAGCTTCATGATTTCTCCCTAAAGTTGAAGTGACAACTTATGACTAGTGAAGTAGATAGATGAATGAAGGTTGTGCAATATCGTTGATTGACTAAAGACAGACATTAACATTGTTGGATACTGATTCAGTCGCCAACAGATTAAGCGTATGCATGAGAGATTGAAGCACCAGGGTTTGATATCTGCGAGCAGGAGTTGTGGATGGTCACTGCTAAGATGAACCATACTAGGAACGAACGGACATTCAATGCTGAGATTTGTTCATGATTTCGACAGTTAAAATGACGCAATTATATTGAATATTTTTGTATAAATAAACAAACAGAATGGATGTAGTTACAATGTGAGGAGTAAAATTGATACTCTTGCTCAATATTCTCACTATTCTTTGCTTTTGAGAAACCATTCTGTTGTATTACGGAGAATTTTGGATATGAATAGAGGAGTTTGTAGTGAATGTTTTGAAGTAATTATGAATATGGTAGTGGATGGTCACTCGAAAATCCAGGACTCATCAATAAGACGAATCCATGATTTGTACTACTCACAGGATTCGAAACTAGAACCTTCGGTTTCGTGCGCAAACGCCTAATCTCTGGACTATCGAGCCGGTATTCGACAGTGTTAATGTCTAGTTTGGACCAATCCATTGTTTCCCGGTGGGTAATTGTTTCACACTCAACAAGACTGCACTCTACTGGTCACGGTCTCTTACTAGAATCGCGAGAATTTCGTCATGAATCTATTAGTCACTAGTGAGTATATTTTTATGATTTTGACTTAGGAGTCGTGGATATTGTTAAGTTACAGTGAAGCTATTATTATCATTATTATGATCAACATTTAAAGCTGATTTTTCATATAAATAACTGAGATTATCAAGAAATTAATTTTGCAATAATATCCTATTAAACTGGTGATTTTTTTTTCATTGAAATCTTGAACTGATCAATATTAAACAAACTCTAGAAAGCTGGCAGCATTGAACTGTCGTTTCATCCTAGTATAACGCTCATCAGAACTGCGAATCCACGTTCGTTCCCCCGAGGCGCGGGAATCGAACCCAGGGCATTAGGTCTCTTGTGAGTAAACGATTTTCCTCCAGACCATTGAGTCAGCATCCAGTCATGTTAGCGTCATCATGAATTGATCAATGTTAAACCGCCTCTTTTAAAAACATGAAACCACTGAACGGTTGTTTCGTGGTGTGAAATCGCTTTTTAGTAGAGTTTTTACCTTGAGGTTTAACAAATAAATTACGAAGTTTTCAAGGTCAAGTTATTTTTTTCGGGGGGGGGTATGATATTATGCGTCGAAACTTCAAATAGATTCATGTCAAAATCTGTTCACTGATAACTGACAAATTATCTTGTCAACTTTTGATATCTTGATTGATTGTCACTGACCTCACTCACATCCTCTCATGGCCAGTTTTGAGTTCATCCTGTGCATTAGGATAGAAATATATTTTCAATCTATGAAATTAGTGTTTTAAGTTAATCACTCCGCAAACATAACCAAATCACACTAAACAGTTTTCTCATCTCACTGTGTGTGTGTCTCTGTGTGTGCGAAATTAACAATGTCGCTTACCTTCAGGCTAGAATAATAATAATTGAAACGGATAAGTTTTCAATCGAATTTACAAAGATTTACAAATATATTATTAAAAAAATTGAAACAGAAAAATTTCAAGAGAAAATCATTGTTTAACTTATAACACAGCGTTATCAACATAATGTGTTTGATCTATAGTTGCCATGGCAACCAACACAATCATGCATACATTCATGATGCATAGTGATGATGATGTTTCGTTGTGATGATGATGATTATATATCTAAAGTAAATTAACATTTGAATGATTACAACAACATGGGAGAACAGAAATTCTAATTTTCGAGGTATATTTTTTTTTCGTTTCCCTGATAAAAACATCATCCTAGTAGTAGTAATCTGTGAATATCTTCATATCTTCATACCTTATCTGTACAATGTATGCATGTTCGACTGTACCTACCAGGCATGATTAATTACACACCTACACACCCACCTCCACACACGCACATCAAGAAAAATGTGAATATCGCGATTTTTCAGGAGAATCACAATTTAGCTTGTTCATCGACAAAATGTGTATTTGTTATTGTGTATGTGTGTGTGTGTGAGAGAGAGAGTAATAAGCGTACTGTATACAGTGTACTGCATGATGTACGCGCGTTTGTGGGTGTGTGTGTGTGTGCACATGTGTCCCACCACGCCTTTAGAGGAGAGATGAGAACAATAATGGTAGAAATGCAATGGAATGACAGAAAATTTTCATGTGAAGAACACGTTGACGCCCATTTCTATCATGATAATAATAATAATAATAATAATAATAATAATAATAATAATAATAATAATCGTAATAATTACAATTGCGATAATGATGATGATGATGACGATGTGAATAAGTTGAAATTAAGGAATGAATGAATGAATAAGTAAATAAGTAAGTTTACAAAATTAGGCGTTTCTTGTCAAAACACAAACAATCAGTGTGTGTTAGCCAGTACTACTGTGGTGTGAGCTACTTATGAGTAGTATATGACGTCAGTGTCAACGTAATAATGTCTGGCAGCAGAAGATGGGAGAAGATCAAGAAAGGAAGAGTTAGAGGAACACAATGGAATTTGTATGAAATGCATGAATAGTGACAATGGATTGATGTTTTGCAACAGGAACAGTCCAGTTCTATATGATGAACTGATATTTTGCAAATTAACGATTTACGATATGGTTTTCCGATTTTACTGAGTAACTCTGTAATTTTCGTTTAAGACAGTCCTCTTGCCCCACCTGTGTTCTCGTTCACTACACTACTTCTACTACTACTACTACTTCTCCTCGTAACTTTGTCATTCTTCATTTATGGAGGATGAATGTGAACATTTTTGTGTTTTTAGAATAAAACTTGTATTTGTTGAAGGTTAGTGCCTGGGGTTGCACAAGTTTGATGAACACACACACCATGATTGTGAATTGTTCAACCTAAACAGCCAGTGAGACACAGAGAGAGAGAATATCATGTAGCGAAGTAGTTAACTGATGATTGTTTGTGCTTAGGGTTTCTTTAATGAACAGTGTTGAATTGAAAAAATTTCATATGATACAGATCGCGTTTATTCAAGTAGGTACTGTAAGACTTTGAGAAAAGGAGCTAAGTGGATGGTTAGACGTCTGATTGTTTGCAGTGGGTTGTTGTGAAGGTTCTCAGTTTGATTTCTGATGAGTTTGGAATAATTCGAAACTTGGAAATTTCACACTATAACGAAATGCTCTACATTATTTAAAAGAGATTAAAAAAGGTATTTAACCCTAGTTGAATACTCTTTCACAGTAAGTACTTATAAACCTGAGAAGGGTCGAATCCATGATTTTAAAAAAAGTACTCGTTTAACCTATAATGAAAAATTTGGATATCGATTTCAAAACTCCCGGTCCGAGTTAATTCCCGCTTATCATGCTGATCATGAATTGTCTACACATTGGAGGAAAAATTTACCATTCAATTGCAGTTCACTGATGCTTTAGTGAATCTGCTTATCATGAGTTTTAAAAACTGTTAATTCGATTACACATTCAAACGAAACGGAAAAATCTATCCAGATGCTTCAGTTCACCATCGTAAATAGAAAACCACTAGATGAAATAAGCCACAACGAAAACACTTCACTAACATGAATACATACATACATGATCGTTCAATTTCAAATGTGTTCATTTTGAAATGATTTAGCAATAACCGTACTTTGTTACCGTACTTTCATATTTACCATCATTCATATTGAAGATTGAATGAGTTCATGTAACAATCAATTTTCAATTGACAAAAATATATTAATTTTTACCTTTTTTGCTTCAATCAATAGAGCGAAATTATTGAATGATATCCGCTTTGAGAAAAAAAATGAACATATTTATAGTTTTTTTATTTTGTGGAAATTCCAACATTTTTCTTCTCTGTGATTAAAACATCACATTGTATTGAACATTGATTGAACAGCATTAACTATTGGCAATGTGATGATGCATTGACCTTCGATTATAATTTATGATTAGACGAAAAACGAAACAAACAAACAGACATGAAAGCAATGATTATTCCAAGTGAATTTTTATGGTATGTGATTCATGATTGATTTACACACATGAGATGTACATAATTACTGGCGACTATTTGTTGGTAGATGAACTTCTAAAGTTAAAATAACTCATTCATTCACTTATCATGGAGAGTTCGGTTTCAAATGAAGAAGCATATCAGTCAGTATGATGAATCAATGATAAGGCAGGAATGAGATTGTTGAATGTTACGCCACAAACTGATCATAGCTAATGAAATGTAAAGACAAACATAGTGAACTCGTTGAATATGGATGTCAAAATATCGACGTGAAGATAAAGATAATCTCACTATGAGTCCTGAAAGTCATGGATTCAACCCCTGGTTAGGGTTACGGTTATCTACTACCGAAGATTCGTATACTAAGGAAAACACCTGCCAACAGTAATAATAATTATCATGACTTCATTCAATATTTGTACGTTTAGTACCAGAATGCAATTTTCAGTACGCAATATTTCATCAAGTTTCCTTTTCAATGCATATTGCCAACCACCGTGAAGTCTCTCATTGTAATTTTTATGTACCTTGAGAATCGATAGATAGTAAACTTGTTCGATGAACACCTAGGCGGTTAATAAACATAACTGAAGCTATCAGTAGACCAAATATTCAAGTTCAGTAGAAAACGAACAACACTCGGAGCCCCTCTGTTGCTTAAGGCGTTCTCAAACCCAGATAAAGGAGGAGGGTTGAGTATGGGATCAGCAACCCTATCCCGTAGATACCTAACTCACTGAAGAACACTGAACAGGAAGAAAAGCTTAATTTATGATGTGTACTGTAAAAAGTTTTTTAATCTCAACTTAGTCTTCCATGAATTCGTTTCACTTTAGAGGTGATTTTAATCATGTTACGTTCGTCACTAGGTACGCTTGAAGCTATTACGAGTTCATCTTAGTTGATAAAACACGAACGAGACAATTACCAGCGTCGAGATAGGCTACCTTGAATCCCAAACTGTAAAACAGAAGTCTTGGTAAGCGTAGAAAGTATATTCTACAACACCCAGCAATCACAATACAATCAGGCACACAACTCTCGTTTATTTATACATCATAGAAACGTCCTTGGGACAGTTACGAAAATAGCACATTAAAATACACAGCAGCCAATCACGGCCAAGGATTTTCCTGGTGGGAATTAAAATCTCAAGGTCAACTGATCAGCCCATGGCTTGCAAACGTGAAATCCAAAATAAGGCATTTAACAAGCGAGTTCTGGGGATCTAACATCCCCAAAAAACCACAAACTGTATTCGCCTGTCAAAAGTATCCGATAATGATTTCATTCCGATATAGTGAGGAAACAAAATGACGACATTCGAAAATCGATTGGAAATCAGTTGGTCCAAAATTTCAATGGTAATCATTTCTCCGTGTAACATGGCAATTATTTAAACGTGTATTGTTCGACTCCATCCAATGTCTTCGGTGGGTAACAACTACTTCACAGTGGATTTCAACCATCTTGGTTGTGGATTGATTGAAATTAGATATTAAGACCATTGGATGCCAGCTCAGTGGTCTAGAGCTTAAGCATTTGCTTGCGACACTGAAGCTCTTTGGTTCGATTCCCGCGTGTCCGGTCGTAGATGTACAGTGCTATGGCGTCCCATACTAGGACATAACGCCTGATTAGTTCTATCAGGCTTCTTATGGTTGTATACCACTGATCACTTCATGATTTACTTTTCATCACAAACTAGTTCATGATATGAAGATTTAAGTAGATTACTGAAATTCAATACACAAGCAGGCAGCTATTAGAAAAGATTCAAAGAACTGCAACCAAGCAGGCTTACAGAATTGCAAAGCTGCCGTATTTAGAAGGACTGTCTGAATGACACCTATTTCCATAGTCATATACAAGGATCAGACGTAAATTACGTAGCAGTGAATTCACTTCTGACACATGCTAATTTTTCTTGTGATTCAAAACAGATAATTTTCGAGGACAATCTTAAGATGTTCACAAGCCTAAAAAGAAATTACTCGTCATTTGACTATCGAGATATTAATGTATGGAACTCGCTATCTCAATCTGTAATTGAAGCTTCATTTGTTGAAGTATTCAAACGAAAGCTGAATCCACTGAGAGACTAACAGATTGTCAGTACTAACATGAGCCTCTTGTCCTCTCCCAAATGGAAACTGTTTCATATTTCTAAATTCAGTCAATTTGAGTAAATTACATGTTCCAAGTAAATTTGTTCTTACTTTCTACAAGTATACAGATATTATCACCGAACGTAGTATGACGATATCCTCGATTATAAAAAAAATAATGATTTCGGATTTCATTTAAATCAAAAAATCGATCTAAGTTAGACCACTTTTGAAAACAATCTGAAAACACTGCGAGGCGGCCGTTTCATCTTAGCATGAGACTTCTTAGCAGTACGCATACACAACTTTTCATACACAACTCAGATCCAAGTTGTTTGTTCGCCTACTTGAATGTTTAACCTTTAAACTTCAATGAAATCAAACAATCTCCACAATCACATATTGACAATAATTTTAGGAATAATTATCTGAATTGTAACCAAATGGTTGACTTTATATTCATATTACCAATATACCTAGTTGTCTGGGGTGTTTTACTTCCATTATGTCACAATTATGTATTCATTTTCTTGAATCAAACGAGTCATATTCAACTTATCAATGGATATCATCAAGATTCTTACTGAATATTTTTATTATTGATATCATGAATCAATCATTGTTAGATCACCGTTAAAAACCTGGAAGCGTTGAACAACTGTTTCGGCCTGGTATGGGACTCATCAGTAACAATGCGCATCCACAAACGCTGCTACTCGCCGGACCTTCGGTCTTGTGCACGCGGACGCCTAACCTCTGAACCACACTTTATATTTAAACAAAACGTAATTCTTTTTAATTGAGTAATCAAACAGGAATATTCAGATAAAAACTAGCATAAAAAAAAATCAATAATTCCACAATTAAACCGTGTCCATTGGGAATATTTAATGAAGTTATAGATAAAAGAGAAACTATACAACTTCGTAGTTCAATTTTATTTCGGGAAATAATTGAGTATAAATTTTTTTTTGTACATTTGTATTTCTATAGATTAATTAAAAATCCATAAAATGAAAGTCTTTTAAATAAAAATATGCCTTTTTGATATGATCTTTACTTACTTACCTATGTACGCCTGTTACCCTCAATGGAGTGAAGGCCGCCGACCGCCATACTTCACTCTACTGTGTTCTGGGCCTTTGTTTCCAGTTCTATCCGACTGTTGTTGATTCTTTTCATATCTGCAAACGATTCTCAGC